GTAAAACACACCAGGAGTGTGTGTGTGTGTGTGTGTGTGAGTGTGTGCATGTGTGTACATGCCCAAAATCCCAAGAGGAGAATGCAGAAGGGCCTGTTTTATGACCATACTCCCTGGAGGGTGATTTCTCATTTTCCCTCTCTCTCTGTGTCTGTCTCTCTCTGGCAAGCGCATATACCTTACAGCAAACTAAAAAGCAAACAAACAAACCAAAAAGCCCATTAGTGGATTATGGGCCAGGTGGTGGTGCAGTGATAATGAAACTAGACCCACATGGAAAAGGTCCTGGGTTCATATCCCAATACCTTCCTGAGCATTCCAAGGGCACTACTCATGATCTGGGCTGGCTGAGACTTGAGGTGGATCATAGCATGAAAACCCTGTTGGGGGTGCCTCTCTCTTGGCCTCTGTCTCTGACTCTCTCCTTCTCTCTCTCTTTCATGGTAGAAACAAATACATTTTTTAAATAGTAGGTTAGTTTCAATGTATTGCCCCTGAAAAACAGAATATAATACAATCGATTCTGCAGGTTCAAAATACTCACAGGATGAGCCACGATGCACTGCTTCACGTGCGCCAACCCAGAAAACAGCTTGGAAGGCAGGAGGCAAGAGCTGGAGCTGCTTAGGACCACTCTGTCGTCGATGATGCGATCTAACTGAGCAAAAATCTTCTTCTTCAGTTCTAGATTTTCTGGAACACATTCCTGAAAAGAATACACTGCAATCAGTGTTCGTGATCACTGCATACAGGCCCCCAGCAAAGTATTTCAGGTTTTATTCCCTCCTACAATGAACTAATTAGAAAACTACCAACAAATCTTAGAAACAAGAAAAGGCTGCTGAAAAATACAGTGTCTCTTGATAACTCTGGAAGGTGGCCGATGAGTATGTGGGAGTTGTGTTGTGCGGTCTGGTTTTGTACAGGTTTGAAAATTCACATAATAAAAAAGTCTGCCAACTGAAATGTCTCAGAATAATAAAGTCTTCCAACTATTCTGGGGGTGGATTCTACAAACAGAATGCACAACAGCACCTTAGGCACACGGCTATAAACATCAACCGTCTTTATTACCACTTATTTTTCCTATCTGTCTGACCATCAGATCAACTGATCTCAAGGAAAACTCCTCATGAAATGAACAAACAAGTTATCCCTAATTCCCAAAACACTTCTTGAGACTCCATTTCTAATTGGAGGTCTTCTTGAAATTAAACTTTATTTCTAAAAATCTAAAATTACTTTTAATAAGGGGAGGAGAGAAACAAATTTAATTAAATATGGCAGATAACTACTGCTTTGAAATCCTAATTACGAGACTGGGTGGGAGTGAGATGACATCCTCAGACATCCAGAGGGGCCCGGACTGGTGCACGTCCCTGGGAAAATGAGGCTGGAGGGGACTCTGCTCTGCTGTAGTAGAACTGGGACAGGAGGAGGACGCTAACACTGTTGAACACTTTGGAAATACTAGAGTTGTCCTCTTACAACGTTACCTGCCACATACACGTCCTGGGTCACTCCTACCCTGGTGGGCCCCTGCTCAGCGGGGGGCAACATGGACTCCCAGCATTCCCTGGTGACATTAGGATAATGATTCTCAGGAAGGTCCAATAACCAGCCTATCCACATCAACTAGGTGCTTGTTAAAGATGTAAATACTCCGGGATGAGCCGATGATGTGATGGTTATATTGCTGGACTCTCATGTAGTCGACTGCGGTTTGGACCTGGAGCCAGTGGCTTAAAATTCATGCTGGATACGTGTGCATGCATACCCAAGATCCCAAGAGGAGAATGGAAGAAAGGGGATTGTGGTGTGGCCATCCCCTCCGGTGGTGGGGAGGGTTTCTTGCTTTTTGTTTCTCTGTCTCTCTGGATTCTTGCTTGCTTTTTGTTTCTCTGTCTCTCTGGAAAGTGCACATGCCCTATAGCAAAAATCTCTCAAAAAAAAAAAAAAAGAAAGAAAGAAAGCACAAATATAGGTGACATGGTGGTTAAGGTACTAGACTCCCACATGGCTGACTGCAGTTGTTTGAGTCCCAGACCTTGGTGGCTTGAAAATCACACTGGGCATGTGTGCATGTGTGCCCAAAATCACAGGAGGAGAAGGGATTGTGGGATGGCCTCACACTTTCCCTCTATCTCTTTCTATCTCTCTCCAGCAAGCACAGAGCACACATGCTCTATTGCAAAAATTAAATACATAAAATAAAAAATAAAAATGTAAATACTCAGACCCCTTCCCAGACTCACAGAATGCCTCTAGGAGTAGGGTTTATGCATTTGCATTTTCCACAAGCAACCTGATGAATCCTGCTCCATTTGTCACTATTCAGAGGTGTGGATTCAAAGTGTAGGTTCCCAATATCTTCACTGGGGTATGCTACCAATGGCACTCCCACACATACACAAGATCTGCTCTCTACTCTAATGTCAAGAGATTCCTCCCACCACCACCACCCCCCTGGGCTACTCAGGGACAGTATGATGAAAATGCGAAGTAGGGACCAGGCAGTAATGCAATGGTAGTATTTCCGGACCCGCATGGAAAAGTCCAGAGTTCATGTTTAGAATTTCCTTTAAGATCTCATGATCCAGATGGAATGAGACTGGAAGTAGATCATAGCAGGAAGGCCTTGTCAGGGGTCTTGTCAGGAACCTTGCCTGTTCCTCTGTTTCACCAAGTATGATGAAAATGCGAAGTAGGGACCAGGCAGTAATGCAATGGTAGTATTTCCGGACCCGCATGGAAAAGTCCAGAGTTCATGTTTAGAATTTCCTTTAAGATCTCATGATCCAGATGGAATGAGACTGGAAGTAGATCATAGCAGGAAGGCCTTGTCAGGGGTCTTGTCAGGAACCTTGCCTGTTCCTCTGTTTCTGTCTCTCTTCCCCTCTCTCTCTTTTCTTCTTCTCATGAAATAAATAAATAAATGAATAAACTTTTTTAAAAACTATCTTGAAACCAGCAGTTGACATAATGGCTATATTGCTGGACATGGACTACTCATGTAGTCGATCGCGGTTCGAGTCTCGGGCCCGGTGGCTTAAACTCACACCAGGTGTGTGTGCGTGCGTGCCCAGGATCCCAAGAGGAGAATGGAGGAGAAGGGATTGCGGCATGACCATCCCCCATGGGGGGTGATTTCTCGCTTTCTGTCTCTCTGTCTTCCTGGCAAGCACACGTGCCCTATAGGAAAAACCTCTCAAAAATAAAAATTAAAAAAAAAACCACTATCTTCACACTGTTGTGGTTATTTCATGAACCCAGCCAATTTCACTGAGAAGTTAGGTACATTTACAAAATACAAGTAGTGAAAATAGTATAAACATCGGCAAATAATCAGAAGTGTACAAAAATGGAACTCCAGTGATGAAGTACTACCAGAAGTTATATTAGAATCACCCCTTCAAAATATTTTCAAATTTGATTTAATAATATCTAATAGTCAGCTGTTCAAATACCATGACATACATGTTGCTTCTGTATCATTAACAAGGTTTTAAAAGTTTTATTCTAAGGGTAGAGAGTCAAAATTATGTTTGTACTTAGTAAAAATATAATCAAATCATGTGAAATTATATTAAGAACAAAAGGTCATATAAGCACCACATCTCAAAGAGAGGGGGGAAAATGGAGTCATTTAAGAACTGTAAAGCCCATTGTGTTAAATCCCCTTATCAAAAGGGGAAAAAGAGCTACACTATCTGGCTAGTTGCATTGAGTCATTCCTGGATCAGTTAAGTCTGCAAGTTGGGTTAAGTTTAAATGGAGCCTTGTAGTAAAGCCAGAGACTAAGAATGATGCAGATCCTGTTTAAGCTAATAAAGGAGGCCTTGTGAATAGCCTCATTGTACGCCTGTCATGCAGATTCTCCCCTGAAATTCTATGCCTTTCTTCAGATCATTTGATTATCAAAGAGGCAAGAACACTTGAACCACAGGAAACTCAAACCTGCTACAATTATGTAAGAGTTTTTCATGGCACATTGCTTAAAGTTTTGTTGTTGCTGCTGCTGTTTTTAAGACTAACACAATTGTGTTGGATGAGCCAGGCCAGAGTCTGAGGCCTCGGTCCATGTAACACGTGAGTTTATTTCCTTGCTATTCATTCAGACACCCCAGTTTGAGAAAGGGAGTCTGACACACTTAACCAGGATCTTCCTCACTAGCAGAGGATTACAAAACTCAGCGAGATTGCAGTCATTCTCTTTGCTCTAAAGGGCTGGGAGGAAAGACAGGGAGGAATATCAAACAATGAGACAACTGAGAACCCAGCTGCACTTGCTCTCTAAACCCAAGCAATAGAACCGCAGAGAATCCACTCCCATGCATTCTCAACGCAACTGTCTTTCAGAGGTCCTTACTAAAAAAAGCCACCAACAGTGAAAAGTCACCCAAAATTCTACTACTGAAGGTAATCAGTTTGACTTTGCATAACTTTTTTTCAAGTTTCTTTTTTCTTATTGCCAGAGGGCATGCACATTCCCCAGAAAGAGACAGAGAGAGGGAGAAAAGCATTCCCCCAATGACTTGTGGTCATGCTGCAATCCCTTCTCTTCCATTTCTCTGTCCTATTGGAATTCTGAGCACACACAGACACATGTCTAGCTTGTTTCTCAAGTTGCCAGGGCTGGGACTTGAACCTCAGTAGGTCATGTGGGAACTGGCTTCCTTAACCATTAGACCACAGGTCAGTCCCTTTTTTTAAGTTTATTTATGAATTTCTTCCATAATAGAGATAGAGAACACAAACATATAAAAAAAAAAAAAAAAAAAAAAAACTCCTAATAGAGTCTTCACACCACAATCTACCCAGTCTTAGCAGCCTGGACCATAGTTAGGCACACATATGCTCCTCATGCTTGGGAAAGTCCCAGTACATAAACCCAGGACTTCACCTATGTGGATCCAGTGGCCACGACAGCATCTTTTAAAGCACTAACTGCTGTTTGTTTGTTTGTTTGTTTGTTTGTTTGTTTAGAGGAGACACAACACATAAATATACTCTTATGAACTGCCATCACCACTAGCATGCCTAGATTTTTATGAACAAAACAAGACAAAAATCTAGAGGAAAATAAAGCATAACAAAGCTTTCAATTTTTTTTTTTTGAGAAATAAATCCTTATGTTTGTTTATTTTTTTTCAGTTTTTTTAAAATTTTGATAACAGTTTTAGTGGGTTTTTTTCTTCTGAAATTTTTTCTTGTTATTAATTTACATTCATTCCCTGAGCATCATCACAACATACTAAATGTGGTTTCCCATCTAGAATAAACTGCATAGTGGCTTAATCATGCATGTTATCATCCATAATATTCCATTTCTACTTTCATATATATATGTTTTTTACCCCATGTCTGACCCTCTGCCCTATTCCACTCTCTTATTACACTATCTCTGCTGTCTACAGTTGTCTCCAATTCCTTTTCCCCCCAACATTTTGTTGATCACACAATATCATAAGTAATCTAACTACTTTCAATAGCAAGTTCAATTGGTGGTTTCAAGAAAGGCAGTTTTGAACTGGTAAGGATATTTCCTTGAAACTTGAAGCCTAGAAACAGGTTAGTATTCTGTTCAAATAGTAGGTACATGCACCTATC